AACCATCACAGGGGTTCATGATTGGGCTACCAAACTAAGCCAATAGGTGAGGGGACACAATCCTAATCTATGGATGAGGCTACCAAAGTAAGCCAACAGGTGATAAGACACAATCCTAGTCTACAGGTTCCTCCCTAGAGACAAATCCAATGTCACACAGACCTGATGCAACCAGAATTTTATGGTGCATATGGGAGTCATCTCTCGCACATGTACACATATCACCCTCAATGGTAATTTACTTTTCCAATACAACTATCATATGTACATGTCGTGTGATGGTTCAAGATGAGGCTTTGGCCCTCGTCCCAGTAGGCCTACCACCACACACAAGGGTCACACAGTCCCTTGGCTCACTACCATGGGCAACTCCAACCTCATCAAAGGATAATCGTGTTAACCCTCATCGGTTGTGCTCTATGCCTAGGTATTTAGGTTTTGTAACTCGATTGGCTTAGCTCATTAAGCCTAGTCTAAGTCTTGGCAAATATCATTTGTCAATTTCAATCCCACAAGACTATCCTCCCACTGAAGATCATTGTTCCACTGTATCAAATATTGATTACATGCTCTCATAAGGCTTTTGATGGCCACCAATACCCAACAGTTTGATCAATAGAGCCAAACACTCCCACTTAACTCAGGAGAATTCTTTATAGCCATAACAGCATGAGCACACAATCACATAGAGCATCTACAAGAGCTATGAATCAAAGACCAAGTATTAAGGTCTTTGAAGGCCAAATCCCAGCACAAGGGAAAACAAGACAAACCTTGTTAGAAAGATATGCCAGGTCAAATGAATGGCCAAGGCCCTCAAGAATATTTATAATGGATGGATAATAGCAATCAATGGGATATGGAGCAATCAAATATTAAAATCCAAATAAGAACAAAATGAGAAGGAAACTAGTGTTGGACAAACTCTCATGACTAAACACTGGAATAAATCTAGAAGATGGCAGAAACCTACGCAAGTACATTTTTGAAGGTTTTAAGGAATACAATCCTCAAAGAATGACAATTACAAAAATCGTTACACATTTCAATTATATTTTATGTCAAACTCGAAAGCAGGGCAAATTAAAACCCCAAAGAAGATCAGGATATATGAATCCTTTTAGAATTAAGCAAAATTACTTGTACATTCTCCAGATAAACCTTCAAAATAATAACTTTTCTAAGAAAATCTTCTTTAAAAGAGGAGGGGGTCTACTCGCTTATGAAAAGACCTTCCTCTGAGTGGATATGCGGATCAAGTTATCACAAAAACCAACAAGCATGTTTCATGTCTCTCACTTGCGGATTTTCCATGAAATGCATCTTTCATTCCCGGACAAACATCCAGAGTGTACAATTTCATTGGAGTTGTTACATTTTGTATTACATTTTTCCCCCATGTGATCATCATCAACATAGATATCCGGGTTAACACATGAAGCTTCTTTTTTTAAAAAAATTGAATTGTTTTATTCTATTAAAAGAGAAGTAGAATCGATAAAAAAATTAGGCTTCCCACAAGTCAGGAGCTCTATACAAAAAATAAGCATCCCAAAAGACGGGAGCTCTGTACAAAAGCATAAAGGCCAGCCATAAAGAGGAACCCTATACAAAAATCACAAATTAGGTGAGGCGAGGCAAATTAGTCATAAAAAAGATCCCATTGTAAGACCCACAACATAAGGGGGGGTTAGGCTGCATTGTTGAAGCAGCTCCCTTACCGAGAGTGTCGGCTTCTTGGTCAACACAAGAAGCTTCACTACATTACACAGCTACAACATTCGACACTAAATGCAACACCCAACATTATATTAGTGTGTATATTCAAACAGATTTGAACTAGCAACTCTCCCAAAATCTAGAGATCCCACGTATACTTTAACAAATGACAATTTCTTACTATCAGCAAATTTATTATTTTCATGTACTTTTATTTTATCGAAGGTGAAAAACCTGTGAGAAAAATGGTTGCCTTGCGTATTGTTGCCAGGCAAGTATGTTGAATTCCTGGTTTTCTATCTTATAAATATTTTTGGTATTTACATCACAAATATTTGATAATGGAGATAAATTTGGTCCGCAAAAGGGTGGAGCACTATAATGTTTGTAGTCGCTAAAAAACATAGCTAAGGGGACACTTTAGATGCTAAATAGTTGCGATAAGGTTTAGATGATGATGATAGTCATAATGATGACCCTTGAGGTTCCTAAATGGTGTAGTATTAGGTCTACGCTGCACATAGCCAGCCCACCTAAGTCTACTTTCCCTAATCATATCACCTATTGAAGCCACACATAAGTTTCATCATACGTATTCGTTCTGAAATCTATCATTTCTTGTGTTGTCATTCATCCATCTCAATACTCTCATCTTAGTTATGCTCATCCTACGAATATGTTGTTTCTTGACCGCCCCACATTCTGTCTCATAAAGCATAGTTGGTCTTACAACCGTCCTATAGAACTTCCCCTTCAGTCTCAAAGGTATGCGGTGATCACATAAAACTCTGGATGCACCTCTCCACTTCGCCTACCCAACACCAATTATACATGTGATATAGAATGCCACACAGAAAAATGTACCTAAAAACAAATGCACCATAGAAATATCCCAAAGAACAATGCCCAACAGTGAACACAAACCATTCATTTATTGGAAAGTAAAAAACTGGCTTATAGAGAATGCAAATTCAGCTTCTTTAAAAAAGAAAAATTGTCTAGTGATGATAAGCTGACGTACAATATTTGGGGTCAAACAAATCACCCCAAGACCTTGATCTAACATAAAGTTTAGATCTCTTAAAAGCCTTCATTGACTAACTTTTCGCTCCAACTAAAATGAAAACATTTTCTAAAACAATATTTCAATTTTTCTTCAAGATATTGCTAGGTCCAAAAGAGTGAGTGTGAAAAATTTGAGCCCAAACAAATGTTCCTCAAGCCCCCACAAATGAGATCAGGCAAATATTGCAGCGATCCACCCTAAGGCGACCAAATCCTTTTCCCTAGACAGTATCACATATATAATGTCAAATTTATAAATCTGTACATATGATCTTTTTTTTTGTTATTACTATAGGTACACTTACATCGTCGGAATTATGAAACAAATATGTAATATACTATCACGCACATGAGAAAATACCATCAACTCAACCACCATATACGGGCCTTTTTTTATTATTGTTCTTGTTAAATACCATCCAAGATTATTGTCAAATATAAACTCTATTATTATAAATGTTCAAGAAGACGGATGCGGAAGCCTAGCTAGCCAGGGGTCTGGGCTGCCTAGGCGAGTGCCAAGACACAAAGGCGGCCTGCATTGGGGAAAGAGGGGCCGATTCTTGCGGATTGTTAGACCCCCCATCCCCTTTTATTGTATATGGAATTGGACTTTTTCCATGCAATGGACTTTTTCCATTGAATTGTTATCCCAAAGACCCAAACTAAATATCAAATTGGGAAAATAATCCAAATAGTTGATAACATATCAAATATGTATCATAAAGTATCAAAAGAAAATACAAAAAGCAAAGAATAATATCATAAGACATTGTGAACAAAAACCCATACATAACGTAATAAAAAATATTGAAATATAACAACCGTCTTGAAATGGAAACGACATCGGCCCAATCGGAATGTTTTGGCTCCCAAATCTCATGTTTTACAACCACTATAAGACTAAAAAAGATTGGGGATGAATATCCTTTACTTTCGTGAGAATTCGAGGAGGTATAAATCTTCAAATCTTGTTTGTTTAAGGTTTTGCTCACTGAAAACCTCACTAAAAACATTTTTGAGGGGCAAACTGATGAAATTACCAAATGGTCGAGGAGCATTTTATGCCGGCACCTGCCTTTCGCCTGAAGCATACCACCTAGTCCACACCAAGGCGGTTTGAAAAAATGGCCACCTAGGCGGCGAGGCGGCAAGGCGGCCGATTATTCTTTTGTAGATTATTATTATTGTCAAATATCATCCAAGATTTAACTATCGAACCAAATCATTAAAATGTAAATATAACAAGTTGATCAAATGAAGGAACTTTCCAAACTGACCTACGTTTTTTTCTTTCTTTTAATAAAGAAGCTTTATTTCTCTTAGAGGCACCAAAATCAGCCTAATGAGTGATAACGGACGACCCAACACAAGCAAATTTTCTGCACCCTTAATGGGCAGAAAAATGACAAAAATACCCACAAGATTAATAGTAGCCACAATACCCCAGCAAAAACACTCAATTTTTGAGAAGGAACTTTTGGGCCCATCAACTTGGTGACAAAACACCAAGACAAGCTCCATTAAGGAGGTTAGAGACACAACAAGGTATTGCCTTTGATAACCATAATATACTCAATGCTATACTCGTAGATAGTGCATCATTTTTTCACTGTTTGATATTTAATTATCTGATTCCAATTTTATTCAGTACCGAATGATTATGATCTTTACAAGCTATGCACAGATGACTAGGAATACGTAAGAAGCTGCATTTTGACATTTGTTTGTGATGATAAATGGAGCATTTCGTATACGTAACTCACACTCTAATGGCAAAGAAAATAAATAAGCTACAGATTACAGATAATGTTCAATCTGAACATAAATACTTCTTGCAGAAAAATTAGCTATTTTATAACATTCTTGGTTGTATTATCACCATAAAAGTATTAAGGGGATCATATGTCCTCTTAGAAAGCAATTAAAACAAGCAAGTAGAATCTGAGGTTCTTTGCTATGGTGGGAAAACAAGCATCTAGTTATTAGGAGAATTTCTAATAACCACAAAGGCACCAGCCATGTATTAAGAGGGGACCACCAACAAGGATATCTTAAACAAGAGAAAGACACATATGTGGAATAATAAACCAACTTTTGTAATGCACCCAAACGTCCAGAAAGCTGTCCAAAAAACTATACTTTCATGGAGATAAATATAGCTCAATAGAGATAGATAAAGAAGCAATTTGCAAAAGAAGAAAGAGCAAATTGACCTTTTTATGTCTTTCTTTTGGGCCAACAAGCACCCCAATATGCATTCTTTGCAAAATACATGGCCTTTTTGGCAACAAAGAGGATCGATAAATGGCTTTAGACAGAGGCAGCAAGCATCAAATGGTTTTAGAGAATCCTTTCCGAGCCTTTCCTTTTGAGTCCCATACCCGAGCTTCTTTTTCTCATCATATGTGAAGAAGGCAAGATCATTATTGTTCTTCGAGTGTCTCTGAGGCATTCTGACCTAAACAAGTACTGAAGCAATAGATCAGAAAATTCCTTATTAATAAAAGCCCAATAAACAAAGACAAGGTGGCTGCTTCCAAAATCAAATATTCAATAGAGGTTATATAATAAATTTTTAGAGCCCGCCTGTAAGATTCAATAAAAAGTGAGTGTGGTGTAAGCACAAAATGAAACCTCTGTAACCAAAAAATTACAAAAGGGCAAAAGTAAACCCTAATTTGCTACAGCTACTTCTATCCTATGAATTAAACAAACAAACCCAACTCAAAACTCTCAAAGGGAAAATAAGATACAGATATAAACAACCCAAACAATTTTAAATTCATTCATAGTTTAATAAGAGGAGAAGAAGAAAAACTACATTAATTCACTTACTGGGATTACAGGAAATTCTCAAAAAGTACCCGCAGCTGAAGAGCAGAAAATTAACACTGGGGATTGGCAACCAAGTATCATTATTCTTGGCGAAAAAAAAAGGACAAAAAATATAGCGGTTGTTCACTTAATCGGAAACGATTAGGGCTGTATATCATGCTCCCTCAGGAGCATAGTATATATTTGCTCTGCAAAATATTTCCGCGAGAGTTTTTTTTTTAAGTTTAAAATTTGGTGTTCCATCTCATTACAAGTAGATGATTATTTTTTAAGACGAAACTTAGATTTTGAGTTCTTGAACATCTAGTTAGTTCTAGAGATCACATACCCAAATTTTGGGATCTAAAAGATATTGCTAGTTTAGGTTTTGCCCGAGGTAGTAGATAGATAGTATATTTGTGTGAGAGTAGAAAATATTTTAGTAAAAGAGTTTATATAAGTTCATTGTCCATCTTATCTAAATGATTGTAAATTGCATATAAGATAATTATTTTATCTATTTCAGTTTTTTTTATCTTACATTTTGTATTACATTTTTCCCCCATGTGATCATCATCAACATAGATATCCAAGTTAACATTTGAAGCTTCTGCTCTTTGAAAAATTGAATTGTTCTATTCTATTAAGAGACAAGTACAATCTATAAAAAAATTAGGCTTCCCACAATTAAGGAGCTCTATACAAAAAATAAGCATCCCAAAGGACGGGAGCTCTGTACAAAAGCTTAAATGCCAGCCATAAAGGGGAACCCGATACAAAAATCACCAATTAGGTGAGGCGAGAAAAATTAGCCATAAAAAAGATCCCATTGTAAGACCCACAACATAAGGGAAGGTTAGGCTGCATTGTTGAAGCAACTCCCTTAGCGAGAGTGTCGGCTTCTTGGTCAACAAAAGAAGCTTCACTACATTACACAGCTACAACATTCGACACTAAATGCAACACCCAACATTATATTAGTGTGTATATTCAAACAGATTTGAACTAGCAGCTCTCCCAAAATCTAGAGATCCCACCTACACTTTAACAAAGGAAAATTTCTTACTATCAGCAAATTTATTATTTTCATGTACCTTTATTTTATCAAAGGTGAAAACCAACCCTTGTGAGGAAAATGGTTGCCTTGCGTATTGCTGCCAGGCCAGTATGTTGAATTCCTAGTTTTCTATCTTATAAATATTTTTGGTATTTACATCACAAATATTTGATAATGGAGATAAATTTGGTCCGCATAAAGGTGGAGCACTATAATGTTTGTTGTCGCTGAAAAACATAGCTAAGGGGATACTTTAGATGCTAAATAGTTGCGATAAGGTTCAGATGATGATGATAGTCATAATGATGACCCTTGAGGTTCCTAAATGGTGTAGTATTAGGTCTACGCTGCACATAGCCAGCCCACCTAAGTCTACTTTCCCTAATCTTATCACCTACTGATGCCACACTTATGATTCATCATACATATTCGTTCAGAAATCTACCATTTCTTGTGTTGTCATTCATCCATCTCAACACTCTCATCTTAACTACGCTCATCCTATGGATATGATGTTTCTTGAAAAACCAACATTATGTCTCATAAAGCAGAGTTGGTCTTACAACCAACCTATAGAACTTTCCCTTCAGTCTCAATGGTATGCGGTGATCACATAAAACTCTGGATGCACCTCTCCACTTCGCCCACCCAACACTAATTCTACATGCGATATAGAATGCCACACAGAAAAATGTACCTAAAAATAAATGCACCATAGAAATGTCCCAAAAAACAATGCCCAACATGGAACACAAACGATTCATTTATTGGAAAGTAAAAAACTGGCTTATAGAGAATGCAAATTCAGCTTCTTTAAAAAAGAAAAGTTGTCTAGTAATGATAAGCTGACGTACAATATTTGGGGTCAAACAAATCACCCCAAGACCTTGATCTAACATAAAGTTTAGATCTCTTAAAAGCCTGCATTGGCTAACTTTTCACTCCAACCAAAATGAAAACATTTTCTAAAACAATATTTCAATTTTATTTCATGACATTGCTAGGTCCAAAAGAGTGAGTGTGAAAAATTTGAGCCCAAACAAATGTTCCTCAGGCCCCCACAAATGAGATCGGGCAAACATTGCAGCCATCCACCCCAAGGCGACCAAATCCTCTTCCCTAGACAGTATCACATATATAATGTCAAATTTATAAATCTGTATATATGATTTTTTTTTTTTTACTATAGGTACACTTGCATCGACGGAATTGTGAAACAAATATGTAATATACTATCATGCACATGAGCAAAATACCATCAACTCAACCACCATTTAGGGGCCTTTTTTTATTATTGTTCTTGTTAAATACCATCCAAGATTATTGTCAAACATAAACTCTATTATTATAAATGTTCAAGAAGGCGGATGCGGATGCGGATGCGGATGCCTAGGTAGCCAGGCTTCTGGGCCGCCAAGGCACGTGCCCAGACACAAAGGCGACCTGCATTGGCGCGGGAGGGGCCGATTCTTGTGGATTGTTAGACCCCCCACCCCCGTTTATTGTATATGGAATTGGACTTTTTCCATGCAATGGACTTTTTCCATTGAATTGCTTTCCCAAAGACCCAAACTAAATATCAAAATGGGAAAAGAATCCAAATAGTTTTTTTTTAAGTGAATAATAATCCAAATACTTGATAACGTATCAAATATATATCATAAAGTATCAAAAGAAAATACAAAAAGCAAAGAATAATATCATAAGACATTGTGAACAAAAACCCATACATAACGTAATAAAAAATATTGAAATATAACAACCGTCTTGAAATGGAATCGACATCGGCCCAACCGGAAAGTTTTGGCTCCCAAATCTCCTCTTTTACAACCACTATATGCCTAAAAAAGATTGGAGATGAATATCCTTTCCTTTCGTGAGAATTTGAGGAGGTATAAATCTTCAAATCTTGCTTGTTTAAGGTTTTGCTCACTCTAAACCTCACTAAAAACATTTTTGAGGGGCAAACTGATGAAATTACCCTATAGCCGAGGGGCATTTTATGCCGGCGCCTGCCTTTCGCCTGGAGCATACCTCCTAGTCTACACCAAGGCGGTTTGAGAAAATGGCCGCCTAGGCGGCTAGGCAGCAAGGCGGCCGATTATTCTTTCGTTGATCATTATTATTGTCAACTATCATCCAAGAATTAACTATCGAATCAAATCATTAAAATGTAAAGATAACAAGTTGATCAAATGAAGGAACTTTCCACCCTGACCTACATTTTTTTCTTTCTTTAAATAAAGAAGCTTTATTTCTCTTAGAGGCACCAAAATCAGCCTAATGAGTGATAACGAGGGACGATCGAACACAAGCAAATTTTCTGCACCCTTAATGGGCAGAAAAATGACCAAAATACCCACAAGATTAATAGTAGTCACAATACCCTAGCAAAAACACTCAATTTTTGAGAAGGAACTTTTGAGCCCAACAACTTTGGTGACGAAACACCAAGACAAGCTCCATTAAGGAGGTTAGAGACACAACAAGGCATTGCCTTTGATAACCATAATATACTCAATGCTCCTAACATTTTTTTATTATTAAAGATTTTCAATTTCTTTGATATTTTTGAATTATTTTTTTGACTTCTTGGGACCTCTTGGGGCCATTTCATTGACTCTGACATGACTAGGGCGAGTCTGAGTCATCTTGCCCAAGTAACTAGGCTAGGGCAAGTGCCGAATACCACGATTGAGCCAACTTTTAGAACCTTGCCACAAACTAAGGCAAGACTGATTCAGCCGCTAGAAGTCCCTTATGAAGCCCGCTTAAATATGGCACTCATGCCATATAACTCTAAGGACATAGAGCCCCATCACAAGGGATGTTTCTGAAAGTTGGACAGGGTGAACTAGTACGGTAGACGGTTTTTAATTTTTATTCTTTTTACCGGCTAAAACACTTACAGGGGTCCTAATACAATAAAATCAACTCAAAATAAACAAGAATCAATTACAAAAGATTTTCTCACTTGCTGCCTCCAATAAAAACTCTTTTATTCTTTTTTTTTGGATAATTCAGTGAGGAAGACAGGCCCCTACCCTGTTTTTTCAATAGATTGGGGAGTTACATTTTGTAGGTGCTAATAGGGGGGGGGGGGTTTAGTGGTATGAATCATAGTTAGCAATCCGGAGATTTTTTGAAAATCGTTTTAAACACCGTCTTTTTGTAAAGCTTGCCAAAAAAACGTATTTTTTTAGTAAAACCGTTAAAAACGTGTTTTTTATGAGGAACGAAAAAAACGGGATCAAAAATATGGTTTTCTTTTTTTACTTGCAGTGTTTTTAGAAAGAAAAACAACTATTTTCCTATTCTGTGTAATTTCTAAAAAAACAAATTATTTCCACAAAATAAAATCCGAAAATGGAAATTTGTATCCCCAATAGATTTATGTATTGTTAGGATTTAGGGTTTATTATATTAGGGTTTATGCTATGCTCTTCTTCTTGTTCACGGCCACATTTTCAGATTAAAGGAATGATCTTTTTTTTCTTTTTCTTTTTAACTTCAACATGATGCATATTTCAGTCGTTATTTTGCAAAGAAAATACTGTGTGCAGCATGATTTCAATGCCCTACAAAAATTGTGTGCAGCAAGAAAATACTATGTGCAGCATGATTTTGCAAATAAAATAATGAGTAAAGAAAATCATTTGCCTTACAAATACCTTATCAGACTAAATGCTTCATTTGCCCTTTCGATTTAGCTACTGAAATGCTTCATTTGCCCTTTCGACTTAGGGTTTACCTCTGGGTTTCTTCTTCCACTTCTTAGAGTTCGCCGTTCGATTTAGGGTTTACCTTCTTTGAAAAACAGGGGAGATACAGAGAGATGCAACCTCTTATTGAAAAAAGTTTTCAAGATTTAGGGTTTACCTCCTTTGAAAAACAGGGTTTACCTTCTTAAGAACCAAGGGATAAAGAGAGTTCGCTGTTCTCAGGTTTACCTTCTGTTCTCGGTTTACCACTTTACCTTTCCTTTTATGGTTTAGTTTTTGGAAAACGTTTTTGTAAGATGCGACCTTATATTGTAGAGCTACGGAAGCACCTCAAAAATCATAAGAAAAAGGTAGATTTAATGCTGAAAAACCCTTTGATTGATCATCTCAACATCAAGAAGTACGACTATGAAAAATAAAAAGATTTTAAGTCCCAAAAATAGTGCATTTTACAATATATTATCTACACCGTCTATTTTCAAGATTTTCGTATGTTTATAGATCTACCTAATTTTAATGTGAAAAAATATATGGTCTATTTCTTGACATGTATTTAAGTAGGTATGATCTTTTTTAAAGTATTTATCGTGAAAATTTATATGTATTTTTTTGGTACCTACTAAGTAGGTGTGATGTTTGTTAAAACATTTAATGAAGAAATTCATATGATGTATTTATCATGAACTTATTATTTTATTTTTTATAAAGAGCATGAACGCCTAATGTGTGTATACTTATATATTCTTTTTTTTTTAATTAAAAAACATGAAAGAAGATACAATGGTTAGGTAAAAAGATCCATTTTTGGATTATTGTGAAAAAAGAGGACATAAATTGTATTGCAATTTTTGCGGTGAAGAATTTTCTACCGGGACAAAAAGATTCAAATACCACTTGTCCAGAGAACAAGGGAATGATATAAAAGCTTGTCCTCAATACCAAATGATGTACAAGCTATGACTGAATGAGAGTCATGAGTCATCTAAATTAATTGACTTAATTATATTAGTCTAGTAAAGTTTTTTTAATGGATTTGTTATTGATGCTTTTGACATAATTTTTATTTTTCAGAATTCCAAAATTTCTAACATTTTAACTTATCCGAATTTTTGAGCTTAGTCCAATTAATTGGCGATATCTTTACATGAAGTATTTTGCCGATCCATATTTTTTATCCGATTTTTTCATCTGACTTTTTAAAATAAAAAATTATTCTTTTCCCTATTTTAAGGTAAGCTGATTTATTAAAAGTCCCTGACTTGCTAACTATAGTAGGAATGGATACCACGATGTGGTAACGGGGTGTGGAGATGCTACCACCACGACCCCAGCCCTTTTCCTATTCAATATACAAAAATTGCATAAGACTCTTAGGAACAAGAAAACATAAGATTGCAAAGAATAAAGTAAATTGCCAGAAGTTTACCTTAATTGGACTTTGCACAACTCACTCCAGGTCTCCTCCTCAGATGGCTCACGGGATCAATGGTCTATTTCAGATCTTCAAAGTATGGGAAACCTTAGGCCATCACCTTATAAATCAGAGAGCAATGGTAGAACTAGAAGCCACTCAAGAAGGACTCGATGCCTTAGTACGTGGGGCGTAGCCCTCTTTTCACTATGGTAGGGGCGTGGCCCCTTTCTTTCTTCTATAAATCTTTTCTTACTCTTAAAAGAGGCTTAGAGGGAGATAAGAGATCAAAGAGGGATAGAGAGAGGGTAGTGTGCCACCTTGTGAGGGAGAGAGAGAGAGAGAGAAAGGGATCCAAGGTGTAGAGAATTGAGTCCCCCATAGGGCCTATTTATAGACTTTCTCTAGGGTTGGGGTTTCTAAGGGTTAGCCATCTTTATGGAAATTAGATCTGGACCACCGATAATAAGAGACCTGTGGGGTGAGATATCTTAGCCTAACAATCCTTAGATCAACCATTCCATCATGTTTAAAAGGTAGGTGTTGGAACCCTATCCTTCAGCTACCTTAGCCTAATTCCATCAAATAGAAAAAATATAAAAAATATAATACTTTTTCCTATCTCTTCCACACATGCTTGGATTTCAAAATCATCTCTCTCAAGTTTCAAAACTTTCATTTTGTTTCACCTTGATTGAGTGACATGATGGCCTCATCACAAAATTAGGAAAGAGATTCATAAAGGGGGGCGTGCCTTTCATGGGGCCTTATGTTGGCTTCGCACCACCCACATGTGTTAAACTTGGTGGGCCCCAAAGCCCATGATTGGCCCCCATATTGATTATGATTTATAAAATATAGAAATTGATTTTTAAAAAATGAGGATTATTTTATTTTTCTCTCTGAATGAAATATTGAAAATTCAGTCTCTCTCTATTTATAAATCCATTTTGAGAAAATAAAATATGTAGACACTTTTTAAAAATTCAATCTATTAATCTAAAAATCATTAAAAATCAAATTAAATTGATTTTAAATTAATCTGATGAGATTTGGATCAAAATATGTTAAGGAATAATTAATTTTCACTGATCCACTTCACCTTCTATTATGGACTATAATCCACATTCACTTTCTCAAACTGAGCCAGCAGTTCCCATAACCCACAAACCATCACAGGGGTTCATGATTGGGTATACGCAGTGCTCCATTAAATATCAAAATGGAAAAATAATCCAAATAGTTTTTTTAAAATTAAATAATAATCCAAATAGTTGATAACATATCAAATATGTATCATAAAGTATCAAAAGAAAATACAAAAAGCAAAGAAGAATATCATCAGACATTGTGAATAAAAACCCATACATAACGTAATAAAAATATATTGAAATATAACAACCGTCTTGAAATGGAATCGACATCGGCCCAATCGGAATGTTTTGGCTCCCAAATCTCATGTTTTACAACCACTATAAGACTAAAAAAGATTGGGGATGAATATCCTTTACTTTCGTGAGAATATAAGGAGGTATAAATCTTCAAATCTTGTTTGTTTAAGGTTTTTCCCACTCCAAACCACACTAAAAACGTTTTTGAGGGGCAAACTGATGAAATTACCCAATGGTCGAGGGGCATTTTATGCCGGTGCCTGCCTTTGGCCTGGAGCATACCACCTAGTCCACACCAAGGCGGTTTGAGAAAATGGCTGCCCAGGCAGCTTGGCGGCTAGGCGACAAGGCAGCCGATTATTCTTTCGTAGATTATTATTATTGTCAAATATCATCCAAGATTTAACTATCGAATCAAATAATAATAATGTAAAGATAACAAGTTGATCAAATGAATGAACACTCGAACCTGACCTACATTTTTTTCTTTCTTTTAATAAAGAAGTTTTATTTCTCTTAGAGGCACCAAAATCAGCCTAATGAGTGATAACGGGGGACGATCCAACAAAAGCAAATTTTCTGCACCCCGTAATGGGCAGAAAAATGACCAAAATACCCACAAGATTGACAGCAATCACAATACCTCAGCAAAAACACTCAATTTTTGAGAAGGAACTTTTGGGCCCATCAACTTGGTGACAAAACACTAAGACAAGCTCCATTAAGGAGGTTAGAGACACAACAAGGTATTGCATTTGATAACCATAAAATACTCAATGCTATACTCGTAGACAGTGCATCATTTTTTCACTATTTGATATTTAATTATCTGATTCCAATTTTATTCAGTACCGAATGGTTATGGTCTGTACAAGCTACGCACAGATGGCTAGGATAACGTAAGAAGCTGCATTTTGACATTTTTTTGTGATGATTAATGCAGCACTTCGTATACGTAACTCACACTCTATTGGCAAAGAAAATAAATAAGCTACAGAATACAGATAATGTTCAATCTGAACATAAATACTTCATGCATAGCAATTAGTTATTTAATAACATTCTTGGTTGTATTATCACCATAAAAGTATTATGGGAATCATATTTCCTCTTAGAAAGTAATTAAACCAAGCAAGTAGTATCATAGAGGTTCTTTGCAATGTGGGCAAACAAGCATCTAGTTATTAGGAGAATTTCTAATAACCACAAAGGCACCAGCCATATATTAAGAGGGGACCACCAGAGACAAGGATATCTTAAACAAGAGAAAAACCCATATGTGGAATAATAAACCAACTTTTGTAATGCACCCAAACGCCCATAAAGCTGTCCAAAAAACCATACTTTCATGGAGATAAATATAGCTCAAAAGAGATAGATAAAGAAGCAATTAGAGCATGCAAAAGAAGTAAGAGCAAACTGACCTTTTGATGTCTTTCTTTTGGGCCAACAAGCACCCCAATATGCATTATTTGCAAAATACATGGCCTTTTTGGCAACAAAGAGGATCGATAAATGGCTTTAGACAGAGGCAGCAAGCATCAAATGGTTTTAGAGAATCCTTTCCGAGCCTTTCCTTTTGAGTCCCATACCCAAGCTTCTTTTTCTCATCATATGTGAAGAAGGAAAGATCATTGTTGTCCTTCGAGTGTCTCTGAGACGTTCTGACCTAAACAAGTACTGAAGCACTAAAACAGAAAATTCCTTATTAATAAAGGCCCAATAAACCAAGACAAGATGGCTGCTTCCAAAATCAAATATTCAATAGAGGTTAAATAATTAATTTTTAGAGCCTGACTGTAAGATTCAATAAAAAGTGAGTGAGATGTAAGCACAAAATGAAACCTAAGGGTAAAAGTAAACCCTAATTTGCTACAGCAACTTCTATCCTTTGAATTAAACAAACAAACCCAACTCAAAACTCTCAGACAAATAAAACCATGGGAAAATAATTTACAGATATAAACAACCCAAACAATTTTAAAATCATTCATAGTTTAACAAGAGGAGAAGAAGAAAAACTACATTAATTCACTTACAGGGATTATAGGAAATCCTCAAAAAGTACCCGCAGCTGAAGAGCACGAAATTAACAGTCGGGATTGGCAACCAGGTATCATTATTCTTGGCCAAAAAAAAAAAGGACAAAAAATATAGCGACTGTTCTCTTAATCGGAACGTTTAGGGTCGTATATCATGCTCCCTCGGGAGCATAGTATATATTGGCTCTGCAAAATATTTCCGCGAGAGTTTTATTTTTAAGTTTCAAATTTGGGGTTCCATCTCATTACAAGTAGATGATTATTTTTTAAGAAAAAACTTAGATTTTGAGTTCTTGAACATCTAGATAGTTCTAGAGATCACATACCCAAATTTTGGGATCTAAAAGATATTGCTAGTATAGGTTTTTCCCGAGGTAGTAGATAGATAGTATATTTGTG